TCACGGACTTTGGATGCGAACGGAACAGAACCCGAGTCCCATCCGTTAGTTCCCGACTCCCAGAAGGGGAGAGTAGTGCGCAGAGCCCACACAGCAGGGGGTCTAAGCGTCGCTCCAGCGTGCTAGGGCTGCAGGGTTGGGGGCCCCACCTCTCTCCAGCCGCCTCTCCGCGTCTCGCTCTGTTGGAGTTATAGGCACGGAGCCCTGCGCCCACTGGCGTGCATCGAGGGCCGGGCGGAGAGATGTCTCCCAGGGCTAGTGTGGGGCTGCGGGTCCCCGCCCCTCCCCCACCCCGCACAGCCCCTTCCTCAGGGCAGACCCCCACCCATGTCGGGAGTGAAAGGGTATCTCACCGCGACCCTCCTTACCCAGAACGACTCAGGAGACACCGGCCCACGCAAGAGATTTTATTATCTGAAAGAGAAAGTGGCTGCCCCCAGAGAGAGACAGAGAGGGAGCAGCAGCATGGTGCAGAGTTGTGCATTTTATTGTGGCGGATCCGCTTGGCCTGTTGCCTTGTGGGAGGGTCGGAATGTTTAGAAATAAGGTGGGGCAAGCCCAGACAAGTCCAGGCATAATTATCACCGGCTATGTGCTTGGGACCATGGGGTAAATGGAGGATAAATTACTATATTTTTATAGGGAGCAACTGGTTAAACTGCAAATTGGAGCTCGGGGCCCCCTAAACGCACGCCACCTACCTGCCCCTCCAGGCAACACTCCACCTACTTCATGGCCCCCCCTCGGCCGCGTACGCTCCCCGGCAGGCCCCAAGCACTGCAACTGGAGGGGAGCAAGAAAGCCCATAGCAGGCATCTAACCCCAAGCACCGGCGCTTTGAAGTTGCAGCAGACGCGGTAACCCAGGGCCCAGGTTCTAGGAAGAAGATCCGATTCCTCCACGGACCCCAGCTCTATCTCCAACAAGAGTATTCCTGTGGATCCCAGCGCAGAATCTTTCATCGACATCATACAAGACGCAGAGCTTCTCCTCGGGTGCAGCGTCCAGGATCCTGGCGTCACTAAATGGAGGCGACGACGACCGGTCCAGGTCAATGCTTGGACCGGGACAGGTGCTTTGGCGAACATAGAAAACAAACGTCCATTCCTTGGGGTAGGTGAATTGCTGGGATTGGCGGGTGCGGGAGGAAGGACGAGGAGGCCGGGGCGGCCAGGATCCCAGGAAGCAGAAGCACTGGTCCCAGAGGGGCTGGTGCCCAGGAACAGGCAGCAGCCCTCTACTGCACCATGTTCAGCCCCCTGCAGCTACAGACGGAAAGCATTTTACATCGCACTGAATACCCGTACGTGTTCCCTCTGTGTACTGCTTGCTCCTGGAGGTACCTAGTTCTCCAGGAGACTTAATTGTCTCTGGCTCTTTTCAGAGCCAAAAGCCACCTAGAGGGCCCAAGGCCAATAGGGCCCTTTCCTCCAAGACTTTGGTGTGGTGGAAAGTACCCGCTGGGCATCAAGGTAAATATTTTCATACAGTATTTAAATCCATCAAGTCGGGAAATTTTGGCTAGAGGCCTGTTTTGTAAATAACGTTTTACTAGAACCACGCAGGATAAACTGTAGGGCAAGTAGAGGGTCAGATCATACCTGTATTTAAATTAGGATAATTTTTAAATCATGGATTATTTTTACATTAATTTTGGTATTTGTTAATGCATTAACACATTATTCACATTACTTATCATTGGCCCAGCATTAAATTTTAAGTAGGAGGGAAAACCACCCCCTAAAGCAAGCCTGGAACTGGGTATTACAAAAAAGTCTACTGGGGTGGGGATCACGAGGGGGATAGAAATTTTAAAACAAGCATGAGATAACATCCGTATGTTTAATTTCATCCACATCTCTGAAAACCAAACACTTGTGACTTTCTCCTCTCAGAAAGGAGCTTGCAATATGCATGTGTGTGACTGAAGCTAGAGTGCCAGTTAGTAAACCTGAAAAACGCAATTTGGCAGGGCAGCCATTCTAAACCAGCTTCAGGACTTGGACACCTATGTCCTGAACATTCTCACGTTGGTTTGTTTTTATTGCTTTTTCCATGATTGGAAAATAGAACTTCAGGGGCTTTAAGGATAGAAAATGGGATAAGTAAATTCCACATTATGGAAATTGCCCATTACAAGTGGCACAGAGTTCCTACAGGGAAAAAAAAGTCATTTTTCCTCCACCTACTATATATACACACACACACATATACACATAAATTTTCATATATATGTATATTTTTTCCAATAGAGTTCAACTCCTAACACAGGTATCTCTAGAGTGTATATTACCCTCTCTAAAGGAATACTCCCGTCTTTGGCATAGTCATTTTGGGACTCAGTCTGAGCTGGAACTATTCAAATTAGAGCACTGAGGAGCTGGGTTATAAGGGGGTTCCACTGTACTAAGTTATTTAAAGTCTTTAAAACCAAGCATAACCTCTGAGCTATGAGTGATTTTGTACATATTTCAACACTGGTGCAAGGGAGTCACTCGTCCACAGAATACACTGTACCAGCAACTGATGCCTATTTTGTTATGCTGACACTGATGCAAGAATGGTCCAAGTGCTCCTCTGTTGTTTTTAAGCATTTGTGAAAGCAGTGCAAGGAGTGGCTCCCCTAAATTTATCTTCAAAAAATGAAACACAAAAACAACAATTATGAATAAACTTCCACTGACCTTCAAAGGATGAAAACGAGAATTCTAATACAGTCAAAATAGGCCTTGCTGATACCACACAAATTCAATGTCATGAAACTAGCAGATGCACAAGTGAATATTCTCTTGAGCAATTTCTAACATCTAAGCATTTTCTTCCCGTTTGATGGTACAATTTGTGGAATTTAGTCAGAGGGGGGTGGCTGTCAGTTCAGGGTAGAGTTGTATCTGTGTTAACTTGCAGTGCTTTTTTATTTCTTCAGGTAGTGGTGACTTACTTGCAGGTCATGGAATCAAAAGGTGACTAGATGACAGAAAACCGTAAGTTGCATCATGGGAGCAAAAGGTGACTATTTGAGAAGATAGAAAATGGTAAGTTGTATCAAACAAGTACTGGTGGGGGCGGAAATCAGGATGTGCTTATTAGCTTTGCTGCAGAAAACGTGTAAATGCAGTGACGGAAACAGGCTAGTAGATCTAGTGATGGGGTATCTGGAAAGCAGCCCAACAAAGCAGGCCGCTGAGTGCCAACAGCCTGACGCCAGGGGCTGGGCTCCCAGGCAGGTCAGGCCAGGGCTTGGGAGACCCAGGCCTGTGCTTCCTCAAGCGGGCGAAGCAAGCTCAGAGTAAAAGAAAAGGTTTGGTGACTTGCTTTTGCTGGGTTTACATAGTGTTCCTTAGTGGAGTACTGAAAGGAAAAGGAGCCACAGAAAAAAGGGAAAGAAAATGTTCTCATGTATTTTCAAATTCTACAGCATCAATTCCCCCAGAAACTCTTAATAAATGCTCCCCCCATTCTTTTGCAAGTATAATAGACCTGCTTTATGTAACCAGTGTTGGGAACAGGGACCTAATATTGGCCCACATAACAGCCCAGTATGGGCTCTGGCTGTTTAGAGAGGTTTTGAATCTCCCCAAAATGAGCTCTATTACATTGGCCTTCTTTAGATTATATACTGATACAGAGGAAGAATCCTAAATCCTAAATTGGAGAGTAAAAACAAGGAGTCAGGTAGGGAGAAGAGGCCCATACTGTCATTATTTGTAGTTGGAGAACTTCCCAAAGGATTACATACAATGTAAATCTCATTAACTAGGATGCTGAGTAGACAGTGAGGCTGAACTGACATGGTTTTGTTTGTTTTTTAATAGTTGTCAGCATTTAGGTAAAAGCCTTTTGTGTGACCCATCTCCACATTGGTTTTTTAAATTAATTTTTATTGAGGTATAACTGACATAGAACATATTAGTTTCAGGTGTACATGATTAAATATTTATATACATTGCAAAATAATCACCACATTGGCTACTTAACATCTGTCACCTTATATGTTAAAACCTTTTTTTCTTGTGCTGAGAACTTTCAAGATCTATTCTCTTAGCAATTTTCAAATATGTTATTAACTAGTCACCATGCTGTACATCATATTCCCATGAATTCTTTATTTTATAACTGGAAGTTTGTACTTTTCGACCCCCTTCTCCATCTCTCCCACCTCCTGCCCCCTGCCTCTGGCAGCCATCAATCTGTTCTGTGTCTCTTGAGTTTGTTTTTTTAGATTCCACATATAAGTCAGATTATGTGGTATTTGTCTTTCTTCATCTGACTTATTTCTCTTAGCCTAATACCCTGTAGGTCCATCCATGTTGTTGTCATAAATGGCAAGATTTCATTCTTTCTTATGGTTGAATAATATTCCATTGTGTGTGTGGGTGTATATGCCATATTTTCTTTGTCCATTCATCCATCAACGGACACTTAAATTGTTCCTATATATCTTGGCTATTGTAAATAATGCTGCAATGATATGGGGGTGCCTCTTGTTGACCTTGTTCTAAAATGCCTAGCTCCACTCTCCGGACTTAGGAACTGGTGATAGAATTGGGATCTCTTAGTTGAAAAGTAGGACCGTCAGTGCCAAGGGTGCTCCACATCCCAGGCAACATCACCTTCCAACCAGAATCCTAAACCTGTATCTAGAACTGGGTTAGCTGACAGTGTCCTGAACCCAGGAAGGTTGCAGGGTGGGGGCAGGTTGGTTACATGCAGCATTGACAATGGTATGACAATGGTATGCTTCTTTCCATCCAAATTACTGGCTGGGAAGAAACTGAGTTTTAGTGAATTTGAACCTAGTGAGGCTGAATTTTCCTTAGCATTAAAAGCTAAAGCATTAAGGTAGTGTCCAGAGGTTCAACAACTCTCCTGTCCCAGCAATACAAGTTACAAACCCTCTGGGTCCCCTTGCAAGGTCACCTTTTTAACTCTCAAGAGGTTTCAGAGGATGAATGACCCCTTAGTCATTCTTGAAGGAAACCCATCTAAAAAATCCAATGTGCTCTTGAATAGTTACTTCAGACTGAAGATAAGCTTTTCAAGTAGGGGTCTGTTTCCCTCAGTGTGACTTTAAAAGGAGTTTTTGCCAAGCTCAGCTCCCTGCATCACCAGGGTGACACTCTTAAGTGAGGAGGGGGCAGAGCAGCTGGACAACTGATGGTTTTTTGTGAGGACACTAACATTTCTTCATTCTATTACCAGGCAAAGCATCAACAAGGACACAGTACAGTTCACTAGCTAGTCTTGCATCCAACACCTGGAAAATAATGAAAGAATATTAAAAAGTGGGAGGATAGAAACAAAGCAATAAGCCTAGAGCAGGGCTAGGCACCTAGTCCACTCTGAGTAAGGGTGAGCTGAAGGGAAAGAGTACAGTATGAACTTTCCCAAGATATTTTAGCAATAATGAAATAGTTTCTCCCATTGTGGTTTAAAATCTCAACAGCATATAGATTTGTGTGTCATGTTTTTTTATTAAGTGTTCAATATACTAAACTAATCTCTTTCTTTTCCCTCTGATTGTAGGTTTGGTTTAAGAATAGGCAGTCCATGTGTTAGGGACATCAGAGGGCTTTAGTTCTCAGAAATACATCCCCCGTTGACACAGGTCACCCTGTTTGCATAATCTTGGTGGACCTTATGATGCCATTTTTGTCCTGCAGCCCAATTATAGTTAGGTTCTTCTGGTGCCACTGCAGCCCAAAACACAGTGCCATCCTTTGGTTTGGCTTTGTTTGACCTGGCATGGGCCCCTGTCATCAGCATTCATTTTATAGTCCCTATCTTCTAAGGTATGTTTTCTGACAGTTTCTCAAAAGTTTTTCCCTCCCAGATTCAAATTCTTCCTAGACCATCATCAAGAGCAGCTCATTAAGTGCCCACTAAATGAACTGAAAAAAATGAAAAAAAGTCTGTGCGTTGTATTTTATAGGGCAGTTTTGTATTTTCGCTAAAGACATGAGTTCTCTATACTGGTTTTTGCGTGCCAAGTGGAGTTAGTAGACTATGGAGAGGAATTGCCAAGGAGTGGCAAGGGGGCTTCTTTTCATGAGGTGACATCCTGGAATCATTATCATCAGATGCTGCACTTCTCAGATGCATACATGTGCAAGACGGGGTTGGGTAAGTTCCCAGTGAGAGCACAGTGTGCTGCAAGAGTAGCTCAGGCACAATCGTGGACTCTAAAGGAATCTTCCTAAGCAGCTCCTTGTAGGGCTTTATGGGAAAGTGGCATCTAAACATTGATCTACTATGCTTCAAATTCTCCTTTTTGTGCAGGCCATAAGGGAACAGAAACCATTCTGGCCCAAAGGTCCTGCTCCTTCAAAGGAAACACAAGAGGAGACTCCCTCAAAGCCAGAAAGAGGCTCCTCCCCTTTTCCCCCGATCCATCCACCACAGGAGCCATATGATTGTACCTTGCCCAGCTCAGAACTGACAGTCATGCCTTCAAATGTATTCGGCCTCATTTCAGCATCCTTGAAAGAACCCTGGTTCCTGATGATTAAATGCTTAAGGGAACCTTTGGTTTAGTGTTGCTGGAAACAAAATGAAGGAGATGGTCCCACATTAATGAATCATTGAAAAGAAGCAGTCAGACCTTGGCATTCTTCATGCTGTCTTCCTGATGTGAAGCTGCCAGGCTAGAAAACAACAAAAATAAAAATATTATGATAAGAACTAAGGAATTACTGTTAAATTTTTTAGGTACTATACAGACAATTCCCCTCATTTGTGGAGTATAACAATGAAGCAAAACTGAAGGAACAAAACAGCAGCAGACTCACAGACTCCAAGAAGGGACTAGCAGTTCCCAAAGGGAAGGGGTTGGGAAGGGTGGATAGGGAGGGATGGAGAAGGGGATTAAGGGGCATTATAATTAGCACTCACAATATAGATAAGTCATGGGGAAGGCAGTATATAGCATGGAAAAGACAAGTAGTGACTCTATAGCATCTTACTATGCTGATGGACAGTGACTGCAATGGGGTGGGGGGGACTTGCTAACATAGGTGAATGTTGAAACCACAATGTTGCTCATGTGAAACCTTCATAAGATTGTATATCAATGATCCTTAAAATTTTTTTTAGGTATGGTAATGGTATTGTGGTTATGTTTTTTTTTAAAGAATATCTATCTTTTAGAAACATGCTGAATTGCTTATATATGAAATGATATCTGAGCCTCGTTTAAAATGATTGGGGTGGCGGGGTGGCAGCACTTCCCACAAGTTGATAACAAGCAGGGTGACCTGTGCATGGGAGACATTACACCATTCTTGGCACTTTTATACATATTTGACCTTTACCATAATAAAAATTAAAGAAAAAAACCTGGCCACCTGTGCTTCTTTTCCTTTTTCTTGGCCTTCTTGCTTTCTTTTTGGTATTTTCATCTGCAAATTAAAACACATAATAATTGAAAAAGTTTACCCAAAATTCCTAGTACCTTTGAGCAGATAGATATATTTTTGCCATTCCATTTGTTGTTACAGAGAAATTCATTCACTCAAACATTTTGTCAGGAACCATGCTAGGCACTCAGAACCACTGAAGTCATAATATGTATTAGGTGATATAGGAAATTATTATTAATTTATTGGGTGAGATAATGGTATCATCATTAAGTAGGAAAATGCCCCCTTTTTAAGGAGTTGCATACAGAAATATTTAGCATCAAAGTATGATATTTGCAATTTTCTTTGAATAACTTAGCAGAGAACCCATATTTGAAACAAATATGTCAAAATGCTGACAGATGTTAAACCTGACTGATAGGCATATGGTATTAATTATACGATTTCCTTTACTTTTTTAAATGTTTGAGTATTTTCATGATAAAAAGGGAAAATAACCCTGTGTGTGGGGGGGGATGCTTTCCAAGGACTCAGTCTAATGGAGAAGACAGAGGTAAAGAGATGATGGAATCCAGAGAGATAGAGGGAAGCATGGGGTGCTCTGGGCATATAGAGGAGTTTCAAAAGCAGGCTGATTTGGGGAGGGTGATTGAGGAATGGTTGCCCAGGAAAAGGTGACTCTTAAGCTAGTTCTTTTAAAAAATCAGTTTTTTTTACAAAAGCAATGCACGCCCATTGCTGAGATGAGTAGGCCAAGCCACATGCAGGGAGGGTCTGACATTGTAAGCAGACAGAGTCTCTGTATCAAGTAACAGAATCAAGAGAAAGACCATGGAATATTGAGACAGAAAGTGGTTCTCAGGCTATGGGATGCTGCAAGAGAGAGACCCAGGTCTATGTGATTACCGAGGCATTGAACAGGGTCCAACTTCACCCTGACGGCTATGGAGAGCTACTGAAGGACTGTACATAGGGGACTGACCTGCTCAGATTTGTGCTTTAAAAATGTTCAGTCTTCCAGCAGTGAGGAAGAAAAGTGACAGGGGGTGGGGGCAGGAAATCCTGGTGACATCAGAGGAAGGAATCAGAGGAGGGAGCACCTTTGTGTCATGTGTCCCCAGTGGAGGCACCCTCTGTCCAGCATCAGCCAGGAGAGGGCACAAAAGGGTGGCTTTTTGTGATGTGCCACCCCACAGGAGGTGTTTTCCATAATCAGCTGCCGCGAGGGGGTCTTTTATGATTTGCCTTTTTGAAAACTGCACAAAGGTGCCTACTGAGTGTGAGAATTTCACAAAAGAGCTGCTCTGCTGGGCAGAGGCAGCCTGTATATGGTTTGGTTCAGCACCATGGATCTCATAACCCAACCTCAACTTGCTTTGGTGCCACATGCCTTGTGCGATTACACACAACCAATCTGGAGCCATACTGCTTAGGTGTGAATCCCAACTGTGTGTCCCTGAGTGTGGTACTTAGAACCTGCTCTGTGCCTCCATTTCCCATCTCTATTATCCTACCATTACTACTGTGTGGATTGAACAGCAATAATGAATATCAAGCACTTAGCAGGGTGGCCACCACAGTGAGCAAGAATTCAAAAACTCTTGTCCCTTACTGTTATTTTTAAGAACCTTCCTCTAAAATAAGCTTTAAGAAGTACAACTCGGTTTGAAGCAAGGTTTGCAGAATGATGTTGCCTTTCTTACCACTGGAGTCTGTTTCAGAATCAGAGTCACTGTCACTATCATCAGAATACTTCTTGTATTTTCTTTTAGATGATTTTTTCTTTCTCCTTTTCTTGGACCTTTATTTTGAGCAACTAGATTTCTTCTTCTTTTCTTCTACATTAAACAGAAATAAAAAACTAAGTTCTAAAGAAGTATTTCTGACTATCAATTTTATTATATTTGAAATACTGAAAAGGAATAGATGACAGGCAATTTGAGTAAAAGCAAAGTCTAATGTTCAACTATAAATGTATTTTGTAACTCCTCAATAAAAAAAGCTCTGTATTTAAAGAATACCTTCTGAGGTAGAAGATGAAGTGGTACTTTTCTTTGGCTCTTCATCCTCTACTGGTCTATGTTTATCAGAGCTGAATTTAAAGAAAACAGTTATAAGCATCATGAAAGTGATTAAATGGAGTATAAAGTATAGACTTGACAATTTTCAGGAACAAATTAAGAAACATTAAAAGCAAACACTGGACTGCATTTATAATTGTACAGTTCAAATATCTACCACCTTCATAATAATATAATAATCGTTTACATTGCATGATGCTTTAGAGTTTACAAAGTGCTATTTACTGAAAGCAGCACATAAGATTAATATTTTCAGAAGAAACCACCAGGTGAAGGTCGCGTGAACCATAAGGAAAGTGAAAGAACTGGAGGCAAGAGGGCTGCAGGAAGGCTTCCTAACTGTATTCTCTGTGTGCAAAGGCCACACGGCAGAGCAGCACCTGTCTGTCTCCCCAGAGCACGAAGCACCTGACAAACTACAGCAGAAGATTTCATTGTGTTGTAAAGAATTTTGAAAATTAGCATTATTAAAATTCTAAAATAATTTAAAAGGGAATTTCTGTATCACATAAACTTTTTCTTTGGATTTCACATCTGGAATAATTCAGGTATTGTGTAGAAAATTGTTTTGGGGTTCTTTCCAACTCTAAAGCTATGATTTCAGGTTCTTATCAGGGTGTCTATAAGAATAAGTTTCTGATAATGCTTTATCACCCTGTTACAAATTACAAAGTTTATCTATCAAGTGCATTGTCTCAGCTCAACCTTAAGTAGACACAGAAATAAAAGTGAAGGAAAAAGTGGTTTACGAATAGCACCAAGGAAGAAAGAAATGAAGAAGAAGACACATTAAGCCTTCAGATAGTACTGGACACAGGAAAATAAACTAAACAAAACTATACTCATATATCCTTTTTAAAAATCCCTTTGTAATGCTAAATCTGGCAAGCAATTGGGTTGAGAAAAATATCAAAATAATATAAATGTACCATTTAACATTGAACCCTTCTATGAATAAGAAGTTAGCACCTCACGAATTATAATTTAAAGAGAACAATTAGCATGCCAACATCCCCTGGCAACATATTTTAATTCTTAGGTATGTTCCATGTTTTAAAACTTACAGGATATAAGAGGATAAATCACAGGAAAGAAAAAAACGAGATATATTTGAAGTTCTTCACTTAATACAAAATTTGACAATAAACTCTAGATTTAACAAATGTTATATTAAAAAAATATTTCATAACAACTTAATCTGGTTCAGGATTGTATTACTCAGCTAAGGCTGCCATAAGAAAGTACCACAGACTGGGTGGCTTAAACAACAGAAATTTATTTTCTCACCATTCTGGAAGTTAGAAGTCCAAGATCAAGGTGCCATCAGGGTTGATTTCTGGGAGAGCTCTCTTCCTTGCTTGCAGGCTGGGGCCTACTCTGTGTTCTTACATGGTCTTTCCTCTGTGCACATACGGAGACAAAAATAAAGATGTCTGTTGTCTCTTCCTCTCCTAAGGACACCAGTCCTGTTGAATTAGGGCCACATTCTTATGACCTCATTTATTCTTAACTACCTCCTTAAAGGCCCTATTGCCAAATATAGTCACTTTGAGGGTTAGGGCTTCGACATGAATTTTGGGGGAACACAATTCAGCCTATAACAAGGATTCTCTGGAGAAAGTCTTCATACTTTAGGAGTTCCCAATTCTCCAATCTTATCTCAATTTCCCAGAAGACATAGGCATATAAATTATTACTCTATTGGTCCAGTTAAGTCCTAATCGCCCTTTATGTTTTAAACAGTAAATTAATAAAAACTTGGTGTGAATGTAAACTCAGAGAATTTGATGTTTTGATAGTACAACCAAATGGTACAGATTACAGAGAGCCTGGGAGGCTGTCAAGTATGTCCCTTCTGCTGCGTGATGGCAGAGCTCCTAATTGCCCATTTCATCTTCTGCAATATGTGACAGAAACAGTTTCACATTTGGAAATAACTTCATCTGAATATACATATTTGCGAAAAGAAAAGGAAATCTATTTCAATTTGGTAAAACAGTTTAAAATATGAAGCACTACAAGTAGAAAATAAAGGGAGCAATGAAAAGAAAAGTTTAATGTGACAGAAGTTTTATTCAATGAGATTCAGGGTTTGTTCTCTCGTTTTCCCTTAGTTCTTTTTTGGGAAAGGAATGCATTTTCTACCTGCTCTTTGGAGGAAACTAAATTTTTTTATGATGTTTGTCATTTCCTGTTTTAATTTATGCTGTTAATCAAAAACTGAAAAAAAATTTTAAAGGGGCTCAATTCCCCAAAGGTTAGTATCTTATGTCTCTATTTGTTTTTTTTAAAGATCCCTTACAAAATAAATATATTTGGTTTCATTGTTTGAATAAATTAATTTTTACTTCTTTATTCAGGAGAAAAGGTATTGTAACTATGAAGAGTTGGACTCAGACGGTTTCCACTTCAAGAAGCAGACAAAAGTAAACATAAAATTAACAGTTGTTCCCAACTTCAAGCTCTACTACAAAGTCACAGTACTCAAGACAATTTGGTATTGGCACAAGAACAGACCCACACACCAGTGGAACAGAATAGTCAAGATATTAGCCCAAACATATATGGTCAATTAATATATGATAAAGGAGCCGTGGATATACAATGGGGAAATGACAGCCTCTTCAACAGCAGGTGTTGGCAAAACTGGACGGCTACATGTAAGAGAATGAAATTGGACGATTGTCTAACCCCATACACAAAAGTAAATTCAAAATGGATCAGAGACCTGAATGTAAGTCATGAAACCATAAAACTCTTAGAAAAAAACATAGGCAAAAATCTCTTGGACATAAACATGAGCAACTTCTTTCATGAACATATCTCCCCAGGCAAGGGAAACAAAAACAAAAATGAACAAGTGGGACTATATCAAGCTGAAAAGCTTCTGTACAGCAAAGGACACCATCAATAGAACAAAAAGGCATCCTACAGTATGGGAGAATATATCAATAAAGGACATATCCAATAAAGGGTCAACATCCAAAATATATAAAGAGCTCATGCACCTCAACAAACAAAAAGCAAATAATCCAATTAAAAAATGGGCATAGGATCTGCACAGACAGTTCTCCAAAGAAGAAATTTAGATGGCCAACTGGCACATGAAAAGATGCTCTGCATCACTAATCAATAGAGAAATACAAATTAAAACCACAGTGAGATATCACCTCACACCAGTAAGGATCACCACCATCCAAAAGACAAACAACAACGAATGTTGGCGAGGATGTGGAAAAAGGGGAACCCTCCTACACTGCTGGTGGGAATGTAAATTAGTTCAACCATTGTGGAAAGCAGTATAGAGGTTCCTCAAAAAACTCAAAATAGAAATACCATTTGACCTAGGAATTCCACCCCTACGAATTTACCCTAAGAATGCAGGAGTTCAGTTTGAAAAAGACATATGCACCCCTATGTTTATCGCAGCACTATTTATAATAGCCAAGAAATGGAGTGTCCATCAGCAGATGAATGGATAAAGAAGATGTGGTACATATACAAAATAGAATATTATTCAGCCATAAGAAGAAAACCAATCCTACCATTTGCGACAACATGGAAGGAGCTAGAGGGTATTATGCTCAGTGAAATAAGCCAGGCAGAGAAAGACAAGTACCAAATGATTTCACTCATCTGTGGAGTATAAGAACAAAGCAAAAACTGAAGGAAAAAAACAGCAGCAGAATCACAGAACCTAAGAATGGACTAACAGTTACCAAAGGGAAAGGGGCTGGGGAGGATGGGTAGGAAGGGAGGAATAAGGGGAAAAAAGGGCATTATGATTAGTATACATAATGTGGGGGGGGCACACAGGGAAAACAGTATAGGACAGAGAAGACAAGTAATGATTCTATAGCATCTTACTACATTGATAGACAGTGATTGTAATGGGGTATGTGGCAATGATCTAGTACCAGGAACATACTACACATTCTGTGTTAGCTATGAGGGTTTCATGCCTGGGAGCAGGAACAGTAAAAACAATCCTGAGTTGCACTGGAGACCTACTTTTCCAAGTTAAATGTTCATTGATAATGGGGGAATCTAGTAACCACAATGTTGTTCATGTAAATGTATATTAATGATACCAAAAATAAATTTTTAAAGAATTAATAGTTGTTGGAATATACAAGTATAGGGGCCACTGAAACCTACCAAACTGTAGATACATAGTTCTTGTAGTATAAGGCCTAAAATTAAGGTTCAGCATTATGTGCTGCCTTGACATTGGGAGAAACCAGGAGAGCCTCCATTGGCCAAACTGCATATTCCCCTCTCTAATCTGCTCCTTTATATGATCCACTAGCCAAACAACCCTCTTTATCAAAGGGACTCTGCAGTTCTGGATTTTCCCTGGGTACTGGGTCTCAGTATATTGGCCAACCTGAGGATTTTCATCTGTCCAATGTCAGGTGTCCTGTGCTCAACCTCCCCATAACCTTAAGGTGGAAATGCCTCCTCACCAACAGGATGAACAGGAGACCATTAAAATAGTCCCTGTGGCTACCTGTGCTCTTAAGATAAATTCTTTATCCTCTACACACACAAATTCAAATTTCATCCAAGCTGTTTTTACATCTTTTAGTTAGAATTCTAAAATAAGAAACTGTTGATTTCTGATTGACACAGACTGGGGACACCTTTTTGAAACATTTAACTTGGAAAAGTAGGTCTCCAGTGTAACTCAGAATTGTTTTTACTGTTTCTGCTCCCACACATGAAACCCTCATAGCTAACACAGAATGTGTAGTATGTTCCCAGTACTAGATCATTGCCACAACACTAAAAATTCCAGTACTATTTTTATCTCTTTTATAGGTGAAGAAATGAAGTTTAGAGAGGTTAAATAGCTTGCATAGTGTTTTGACTTTATTAAACTAACATTTGTTAAGTGGAGCACAGAGTGTGGGACAGTGAGCCAAAGTTCAGTAAGAGCAATTGAAATCAAGTAGTGACCGGTCCTGGAGGAAGTACACAGAATGCCTGGAAGAGCCACACAGGGAGGTTAAGGCAGAGTGCAGACAGACAGGACGTGGGGTGCATACCTTTATTAAGGTGTGTGGGTGGAGTGCTTTGCGGTTCCCAGGGTAGGGCCACATTGTCAATTTAAACCGAAAGAGGTGGGGTTTGGTAAGCCCTTGAGGGCTTTATCTAAGGGTCCATATTTCATATAGGCTCCAGGATGCAGAGGAGACAGCTGATCACAAGGGCTTTTGGGGAAGTCGTATCAAGAACTCACATTTGCTTATGATTCTATGAGCTGCTATCTAGGGCATCTACTTGTATGGTGGGGGTGGTGGCTAGTGTCACTTTAAGGTTCCTACAAACCACCTGGACAAGCAAAATGGATGCGGAGACAGCAGTACCATGGAGTAGCTTAGATAAATAAACCCTCTACACCAAAAGTCACACAGGTATAAGTGGCAAAGCAGGGCTTCAAACACAGGCAATCTGAATCCAAAGACTATCCTTCTCTCCACTTATGCTTTATTGACACACACTGCTGGAAGAAAAAGAATCAAGACATCTCCCAACTATTGTAATTTCAACCTACCCCTCAAAGCCTGTAATGTCTAAAAATTTCTCACTTTTTAACACATACAAGGCACTTAGCACTGTACCTGACACATTGCATAAGCATTATATATAAACGAATACTTAAGCAGCAATAATCATAACTCCCCTCTCCTTAAACTATTTTTCCATTCCAATGCTCAGTTTCATTAGAGGAAAATTTATCTCACCACCTCCCACCCTTTCCTCAGGGTGATGATTGAGACCACTTAACAAGACCCTTGTCGGTAGCCTCAGCGGCAGTTTAACACGTCACTTTTACTACATTCATCCAATCCCATCTTGGAGGAAGGGTTTTCTACTTTCCAATTTAAATCCTTAATCTCAACCCTTCCCAATTCCATACAATTTCCACTTAAATATCCTGTTATTATCTCAAACCGATCTGTTCATTCATTCAATAAGCAATGGTTGAGCTCTTACTAAGTGCTAGAGTGCGAATTCTGTGGTGAATAAAATCGGGCTCCCCCTTTCCAAAGATTCAGTCTAGCGGAGGGAAAAAAAAGCTCACGAATAACACAAAGCAAATAAATGAGATATGCCCGCTACAAAACCAGAGGTGGTGGGGGAGACACTGTATGAAGGGGCCCCTGGATGAGTGAGAAGTAAGCGAAAAATGGCAAATAAAGGGCTGCTGTGGATAGACTGAAGAAAAACATGAAAATGGGCGCTAGGAAGGTAGAAGGGATCGAAATGCGAACGGTTAGAAGCAGAATGAAGCATAAAGCGGACTCCGAAGGCAGGTGGGCTCCTCACAGCGAAGGTGCGCCCGTGTCACTCACTTCCGCCGCAGGCTCTCCTCCCTTTCCTTGTCGAGAAGGCTAGGCCACGGCTTGTCGCCCCCGCAGGGGCGCGAGTAGTCACCGTAATGGGCGGACGAGGAGGCAGAAGCGAAGGGGGTGCCCGTGGCGCAGAGGGCCGCTCTCAAAAGCGTGACCGCGAGCGGTAGCGATAGGACTGGTTTCAGGAGCCTTGGCTGAGGCCACACAGCTGATGGCTGAGGCCACTCTGGTCCCCCAAGAGCAAGAGCAAGAGCGAGAGCAGCGGCCCCGCGGGGAGCAGGCTGCTTTACTGTGCGCAAAGCTCTTGGACCAACTGCGGACGCTTCCCTCCGGAGCCCGAGGCCC